ATGAGACACGCGCTGCGAACATATTATTTAAGAATCCAGTCCGTACCGCGAAGAAAACACCACATTTCACCATTACAGGGATCAACTGGTTAACGCTGTTTAAAGAAATAATCGCAGTTATACAGCGAGAGTCTCTACAATTGCCAATAAGGCGTCCATCTTGTATAATATTTAAGTTCCACCAAACGCTCTGACCGAATTATAACAAGACTGAATATCAAACCCAAATCCTTCGAAGTTCCGGCAACCAATTAAGTTAAGTGGCCACGCCAAGTCCTGGTGCTCACTGCACAAATTCTGGTCTCGCTTCACTGTACGCCATTGTCATAAACAGTCTAGCGTGCGTACAGACGAGTGTGTCGGCCATGTTGAAAGGGAAGTGTCAATGCAAATATTCCCTGCTGATTTCAACTTCAATTAAATTACAAACCTCGTTATTTCGGGGTGGGACAAAGACGGAGTACAAACCATCCCCAGGGTCTAGTAGTTGGCGTACTGGCTTCATATTCAAACAGCCCAAGTTCGATCCAACCGCAGAAATTATCATCAAAATAAAAAGGTGATAAAACTTTTAAATATAATGACAACCAGTTACATGAAAACGGGAATATATCCAACTACCGAAACGTCGTCTAAACAGTGAAACCATTCTCTCGCCATTTATTTTTTCTGGAATTCAATTTGAATTACGAGTTACAGTGCACGTCTTCAGCCACACTGTAAGTGCCCATAAAGTTTGATTGGTTTTCATATCATGTGGGCATTTAGAGGAATTGAAGTAACGCTTACAGTGACAGAGTTTTACATGAAGATTTCTGTCTTCTGGGTTGTTGCGCTGTGTAGTCTGGTCGATGGTTACCAACGTTTCAGAGGTCATACTGCCTCCGGCATCAGGGCAATTAATCGCCCTGACGATGGAAGCAGTAATCACATTTGAAAGATCGGACAAATTCTACCAGACTACGTGCCGCAACGTTCCAGAAGACGACCATATTCATACTCGTCACTGGCAGGACCTGACGTGCTCACAATTAGCTTTTATGCCTTTAAAGGGCAAAATAAATCCATATAACAATTAACACAACCAAAGACACCAATAAAACTTCATTCTAATGATCTGTAGAAACGTTTTTGATGTGAATTCTGAGAATAAAATTAATCCCACACACGCTTTGAAGCCTACGGGCGTCCAAATACTACTTAATAATTCGGCCCGTACCGCGAAGAAAACACTTTCCTTCACCATTTGAAAAATTAACTGGTTAACGCTGTTTAAGGAAATAATCGCTGATTACATTTAAAACCATGCGAAACCTATAAATACACTCTGTGTGCAAAATGTAGAGTTACACGCTGTTAGAGCTCGTGGTATACAGAGTTACCACCAAGCTTTAAAGGGTTTAAACTGGGCAAACAGTGATACTGACGGAATACCCAGAGCTACAAGAGTTTGTCACCCCCGGAGTCGTGACTCAGCTATGGAACTCGGCGGTTAAAGACGGTCCAATTTGTTACCGAGGTCTCATTACGAATTCATAACAACATGAATCATCTGGAAGACCTACATACCCCTTTGTGTTCTGCGTCAGCCCCGTCCAGTACACACAGCCTTCCACTCAAATAAGTTTTCTAAACCACTGTTCACACCAGCGTCTGCGAGTAGTGGTAACACTCTACACCATTATCTGAAACTCTCCTCGTTCAAATCTTGGCCGAACGAGATACGAACCTCACAGAGGTTTACGCTGTTTTACTCAGTCTTTCCTCGTAACTATCAGAAGAGTACTTCGAAAGAAATCCTTCCGAATCCTTTCTCATTCATAATCCATTCATTCAACGCTGTATAGCCATTACTCTACGGATCTGAGCCTTTCCTGTAACTACACGACATCACAAGTCAAAAAAGCATTTCACACTTCCTTCGTCATAAAAAAACCACAATGTGTTCACAACCCACCACTACACGAACAAAATACGATGTTAATAACCCACCATCAAGTTTACGTGTAACGCTCATTTCTCAGCGGTTAATTTACCACGACATAAATCTGCCCTCGTTCGTTCAAGTGCTTTAATTGTTTATCTTGTTTCAAAACAATAGAAACATTCTTATCTTTCTTGTTATCGGTACTATGAAGATCACTACAAATAGTGCAATAAGCAAGTTAATGCAGCATAATATAACAGGAAAACAAATAAAAAAGATTAGAGAACTCTGTGTGTGTGTGTGTGTGTGCTTCCTACGTCACAACACTTGGGGGGGGGGGGGCAACGCAGCTGAAACACCTACGTCATTTTTACGTAATGAAATGTAAAGTTTGTCAACCTTATCCTCTTGCAAATATTAGAAGGAAAAAAAAACTCGCATTATTTCACATACGAAATTACAACACTGGAAAGGTGTACTCTCTAGAGTACAATGAATTTCCAAAGGTGCTCTTTACGTATAAATCACAGGCAGTGAAGTCACTAGGTTGCTTTGTTGACAACCACAGAGCAAATAAACTGTGGACTTGGATCACTCTTGATCTAAAATAACAAATGTTATCCAAGATCATTGTTGAAATGTGAATAATCGATTATCTCTAACAATGTTAAAATATTCAGACTTTAGTTTCGACGATGACGCCCGGTCATGTGGGTCGCGACTGATGGGACAGACAGACAGACATGGGCGGGCTAAAACAAATGTTTAATTCGAATAAATGGTTCGGGAATTGAAGAGGCGACGGGTAATTACACGGAGAGACAATGGAAATGCAAACAGTGACAAGCAGAATTCTGGTAGTGTTCACGGAACGCGTGAAGGACGACTCCAAGGGATCATACATACCATTACGAAGTCTTACTGAAATGCAAATGACACTTCACGTAGGCGGCAGACACTGGAAACGATAAAAAAAAGCGTATAACCCAATTATCATTTGCAGACGAACTTGGCGGACAGATATGACAAGGCTCAATTTCCGTTCGGATCAAACCACTGGAGCTACAAACTCGCAACACGCTATGCCACTTCCTTTGCGTGAGGCCGGATTTCATTTTGAACAGGCCTGTACATATTTACATAAATAAATACTTTAAAACATGACTTCAGCAAGACAGAATGTCATATGCTCCAATAGACAAGCCGCTTTCAGCACGTAACACCTTGTTCAAGCACTTATCCAAATACTATTTATAGTCCGCGCAATAGTTCTTGGCCGGTGGAATATTCAAGGGGAAGGCTAGGAGCGAGTCTCTTTTGCGATAGTTAATGCTGAGGAGCTTGTGTGACCGAATGCCCAAACAAAAGAAATACGCTGACCGTGCCATCTCAGGTACACAGAGTAGGCCCGTCCGCCAGCTTTTCTACCGGCCAAAAACTACTGCGCCGACTATAAGAATCTAGTCCTTACCGCTAAGAAAACACCACACTTCACCATTACATTAACTGGCGATAATCTACCTTAATCTACCTTAGTTTCTGAAATAAGTACCCTAGAAACTATTTCCTTAGATTTTTTTTAAAAAATATTACTTTCATTCCTTTAAGCAAAATACACTGTTTCATAACTACGAAAATTTGGAAAGAAGACAATTTTGAATCTAAACACTTGCGTTTCCTAACTTTCATCACCTCGGCCCACATTTCTATGGACCGTCTTTCCAAAACTTTCAAACTATTGGCTATTGTTACGTATTATGGCTGAAGCTACATGTAATTAAATTATCCGTGTTAAAACCTCATAAATTAACATTATTAACGGATTCAGTTACACTTAAAAATATAAATGAACAATCTGTTCTACTCCTTTTTTTTTTAATTTCTTGACGGTACAAGAATGAACAAGTAGCAAAATGGCATCCGATGCCCATTGGATTGGGGGTGGGTTGGTCCCAGAGCCGGTCTGAAAGCTGTGACGAAAAGGAAAATTACTGCCCCTCAAGGGAATCAACCCCCTCCCCCAATCCGTACCGCATCGGTGTTCGCAAATTTTTCCTGCCCCATTAACATTGGGAAATTTCTTCATACAGTATTCATGCCTTTAAATAATAAAAAGTTCTAAAACATTAGATAACGTGCATTCCAAACATTGTAATCCGATTACAGAAATTATTTTCCGTTGAATAAACACTAATCACAAACGACAAACACGACAGGCTAATACGTTAAAAAAGACGTTAAATATCTAAAATGGATACTTCATACCAAACTGAAAAACATCATTTTGCTTCTGACTCATTAGACATGTTCTTAATCTTAACAATGAATAACATGCAACATACATAATAACACGAACTGCAGTCCAAGTGGGAGCTATTTTAGCACACAAAGGTCACATGACCTATTTATTTTTTTGAGTACGTAACAAAGCAACACTGGAATTTACAGTATTCATAAATAATCAATCTGACCTCTAAGGCCCATTGCACATATTGAAGTAACTCTCCTGGGTTAAAGGTGCTAGACCGGGAAGCATAAACACAAATGCCAAGGTCAAGAAAGCGTAGAGAATTGCCTCCACTCCCCCATACGTCTTCATGACGTGGTCTTTGGGCACAAACACGACTATTGATTCTTCTAATGCAGTGAATCATCAAACAGAATACAAATCATTCTTTATTCTCAGCAGAAATGGAAATAATAATGCAATAAAAACTATAAATTTTTGTTGCAAAATTCACAATATTCCCCTGCTCTAAAAATAAATTTTATCTACAAAATTACCATACATATCTAATTACATATACTACTTCATTGTCATGCAGCGATTCAACTCCACTGAATCGAAGTGTTTTTCTCCATATATTCTAGACGCCATGCACAAACGTGAAAACAACTTTATTCAGGCAGGAAAGTTAGCTTTAAGTAACAGAACAACGAACGACTGGACGTATAGAAATCCCTTTACCTCTCAAGGACTATTTATAAAACTTCCACTACGTGTCTACCACTGAACATTTAACAGCAATAAGGAATTAAAACTCTTTCACTGCAATGTTCGTAACAAACTCACCTTCAATGAGAACGGAGGTTGTCCTAGAAACACCAACAAAGATTGCAGGTACACAAGCTAAGATGAAGACATCAATATACAAAGGCAAATGTTTCAATAAACTTGATTAACACACTTAATCACATCACAGATGATATCGAAGTGACGGATTGCATTCACGTGCGGCGATATCAGATATCAGAAGTAATCAGATCTGTACAGAAACACATTCGCGACACCTCTCCTATGCAATACAACACAGAATACAAGCAGAGCAGCTACTAGGTTATGGGTCCTCCCTGGCGTCCCTCGTTCGGTAAACTTCGTTAGCGTTCGCCATTGCTCGGAGCCCTCACGGCTACCAATTGCACAGCGACAAAACTCACTAATAATAACTACACAATCACCAACCTACTTTTAATTACACTAATAGGGCATATGTAATAAAAATAAAGTAAAAATTAAGTTATCCTTGGTGCTTGACTAAGCATCACGTCATTCGGACTTATCTTGGTTAAAGATGATTAGGGAAATAAAAGTTGTTTGCTCTGAAATAAATAAATCCATAAATAAACTATCTGGTAAAATGTATAGCAAAAATATTTTTTAGCATGTGGTACATATAATAACCAATGGCTTTTAAAAATTTAGTTAGTTAGTTAGTTACCTAAGTGATATACGTTAACGAGACACATAATAGTTCAAGTAACATCCGATGATAGTTTGAAGTTGAGACACGTGACAGGCAGACAGGTATAACCATCACATGAGAAACTCCTCATGTGCAAAAATGTGATTTATTTAAGTTATATATCAGAGCCGATCAGGATAAACAAGCGAAATCGGTTGTTTTATTTAACGCTTGCTGTGACATATTGCCTAGCAATTCAGCTGAAGTTAGCCACAAAACATTCAGCGAAAATCGAACACAGTTACGTCCTGAAAACACGTACGCCGTGCGGAACGAGACAGTGACTGGAAGGTGCATAATAAAACAGACATCTCTGGACGTAAGCACGAGGCGTCTGTATTTTGCATTATAAATGTACATAAATAAAACTAGTCGTGACATGATGACAGCTTCGCCCCCTCCCCTCAAAGCCCCACATTTGACTCGCGTACAGACGTGTCCTATTAACACCACTTCAAACTTCTGTAATCCGTGCCCATTTAAATAATTTATATCGTCCTACAAAACTTGTTAATCCAGCGTACTGTCTCATTAAGTTTGATAACACGTATGTCGGTGTTAATTTCCCTCTCAAATTTTATTTCTGAGGGTATTATAACACATTAACATAAGCTTTTGTATCTTTCTAAAGACTGGTAAAATATAATATTTTAAAAGTAGATGATATATTTCTAATTCTAATATTTTCATATGAAACTGCATATGTGAAAAAAAAAGATAATTTTATTAAGATTTTCTTACCGATTAACCGGCGATTCTTTGAATTATTAACTGGATTAAAGCTACTTTTGATAAGGTAACAGTGCGCTGAGCCACTAAAAGGAGGGCTCATTGCCGTGTTTACAAAAGCCAGCTACCGGTCCTTAACCCGAGCCAGATGAATCCAATCCACATCCACTTTTACTACCTCTAAGATCCATGTTTACCTGTGATTTATGCTTAAATGCGATCACTGTTTGTTTAAAAAATTCTCGATCTGAAGAGACAGACAAAGAACTCTGTTATGTTAATATTTACTTTTTTCTTTTTTTAATAACGGACATGAAGACGGTAAATACTGAATTCAACTGTAGCAAACAGTTCTCAAATGTAATTTAATTTAATTTGGTCGTAAATTACATTTTAATTTATTATTGTAGCCTCCAGATGCTTAAAACTGTGCCATATTTTCAAAAGACTTATTAACTCTCTTTATACTGAATTATTGGCGAAAATGCGCAAAGAATGAATTCAGTTTTCTCTCCGTTTGCGTCGGACCAACCTCGTTATGACGTCATAAAATTGCCGGTCTTTCTCTCACGGCAATTGTGTCTTCGATTAGTCTAAGCGTCACTAAAGAACATGCCATTGAATCGAACGTTGGTAGCACTGAAAATTACTTTGTTACAAAATAACTTAGACAAGGGATTTATCGCATAACTTCGTCAGCTATCAATCAGAAACACTCATCACCCAGGACTCTTCTTGGCAAAAGAGAGAGATGTCGTCTCATATCAGATAACCCACCAGCGCACGATCATAGTGCATGCGTGTCTATTTAACGACACTATCAGTAGCTCAGACATAGCGTCAAATGCTAGGATAACTAACGAATAAATGAAAGAGATATGGAAGGATACAACCATGACCTAATTTAAGGCAATACCCCGGAATTTTCCGGGGACGGACGGAGGGAATTGACGAACACCCTGAGTCACATAGCCCGCCTCCGGATCGAGACCTGAACCTCACGATACAAACTACTCCGTCGTAACGTTCATTCAAAGTCATTTTCACCACGGGATGGATCAATTCTGCCTCGTCATAGGTACAAAAAACTCTCTGTCCCTTTTGTTTACTGCCAACTTAGAGTAGATGTCACTAGATCGATCGCCCCTATGCATTACGAGCGACGCTGGTTCGCCCCTTACTTTGTCACAGTATCACATGTCTGATCACCAGGTCTGCAGCAAACTACCATCATAAAACAAAGAAAATTAGGGTCTTGGATTAATTAGTATAATAAACTATACCTAGATTCCATCGTGGGTTGATGCAAGAGGTGATTAAGTTCTGACATCAGCTGACTCAAAAAGAGACTTTATGACGTCTGCTACAAGAACTGTGGAGGCGATGCAAAAAGTATGTGTAGGTATAAATTATGCGTGACAACATCCTCATCTAGGGTCAATACAATTGCTATAGGCTCCGATAAAGGCCACAAGATAACGTTATCGAATAAGCTGATTTGCGTTATTGTGAAGCATGAAGATAACTGATCCCAAGTCTAAAAATTAAACTGATTACTGCGTCATGTTGTTAAATAATCCCTTTAAAGGGTACTTGTAAAAAAAATATGCTTTAACAGTACAGAATTTTACATTTTACCCATAGAGTGTATTTATGGATTCCAAATGAATCTCGGAATAAACAGCGATTATTTCCTTAAACAGCGTTAACCAATTGATCTTTGTAATGGTGAAGTGTGGTGTTTTCTTCGCGGTAAGGCCTGGATTCTTAAATAATATGTTCGCAGCGCGTGTCTCATTATAAACAGCGATTATTTCCTTAAACAGCGTTAACCATTTGATCTATGTAATGGTGAAATGTGGTGTTTTCTTCGCGGTACGGACTGAATTCTTAAATATAATTTACTTTAGCTTTGGCGTATTCTGTGTCACATCCTTAAATTAAACTCAGTAGTGCGTAGTAATGACATTGATTCATAACGTTGTTTAATTAGACTGAATGCCGCGTCACAATTTCACTTAAATAAAAAGAATATTCCTTACGTTTCGACTTCCCTGTTGAAGAACTCAACAAAAGAGACTTTGTATTATAGAAGGACTGAAAACGAAAGGTTTCCATTTTAGTTACCTCTGCCAACGTTGAAAAATATTTTTACGATTACATGAACGTTCGAGTTTTCGTAACACAGCGTAACTCGTGTAAAATGTTCGTTACTGTGCGCGTTACAATGTATTGTTAGGATTTGCAAACGTCGCCGTGAATGGACGGCAACTTCTCCGACATCTGCGTAAAGCGGGGACGTCTAAATACACAGGCGCTGTTCCAGAAAGGGAACCGCCCTGTTCCATAAACATTTAGAACATGTACGAACTTCAGCAACAAATTATTTCATGAGAAATAATTCATTTTATGACAAATATTATTAGAGTCAGTTCTTGTGTCACGTAGTTCTCCGAAAATATTTTATAGGGCCTATAACAAAGCAAATGTAAGGAAATAAATTAAGAGCAGATTACATTAAATTTCAGTGCCTTCTCTCTATCATCTTAAAATGTAAGATTAAATTCTACGCGTCGTTTTATGTGGCTGTAAACATCATCTCTCACCCGAAGGGAAGAACACAGATTGAGCGTATTTGAGAACACATGTCAGAAAACACTTAAAAAGCTTATCTATAGATGCAAGAATAATATTAAAATTCATCTTAAAAATACTTATGAATGCGATCTGGATTCATCTAACTCCGGACAGGGGATTCCGTAATGATCTTCAGGCTTCCGTAAACGACCGTGGTGCAATGGCCGGGGGGGGGGGGGGGGGAACTGGCAGAGTGTTGATTAGCTTCACAAGACAGCTTTCGTTCCACAGAGCTAGTTACATGTCTTACAACAGAAAGATTGCCTCATCAGTATGATGGATCAAGAAGTGATCAGCATGACGAGGGAAGTCGTTACAGCTTCTGAGGTATTATGAAAAAAACGGACGACGATGCATCGCATCTTAGAGGCATCAAGCGAGCGTCGTTATGGAAACAGAAACAACCAGCAATTTTACCAACCGATTAACCTTCTGAAGCCGAAACTCGTCGAAATATTACGTAAGAATTCAGTCCGTACCGCGAAGTAAACACAACACTTCACCATTACAAAGATCAACTGGTTAATCCTTTGAAGCCGAAGCTCGTCGAAATATTACGTAAGAATTCAGTCCGTACCGCGAAGTAAACACAACACTTCACCATTACAAAGATCAACTGGTTAATCCTTTGAAGCCGAAGCTCGTCGAAATATTACGTAAGAATTCAGTCCGTACCGCGAAGTAAACACAACACTTCACCATTACAAAGATCAACTGGTTAACGCTGTTTAAGGAAATAATTGCTGTTTATACGAGAGACATAAATACAAAATGCAAAGTTACTGATTGTTAAAGCTTGTGGTACATTTAGCTACCACCTTTTTATAATACTAATATATTCTTTTCAGTGTTTAATTGCGCCTTAACATCGCTGCCTGTTAAACGAACAGAGCCTATTTGATGAGACACGCGTCATACAAGGTTACGAATAAATGACTGTACGTTTAAAGAGACGTCCTGTTCTAATTGTCACTTTTCCACGTCACTCTGTTCAACACCTTAAAGCCAGCATTCATAAAATGAGGCCTGTACTTGAAAATAATGTTTGGTTTTACGACATGACACAACACAGGGACATACATCAACTCCCACAAGTTACAAATAGGTCGATTTTCAAAAATTCGTTCTTAAGTCGATTACTCGTAGACTCACTGTCACACAAGGTAGTCGCATCGTCGTTTAGACTTATAAGTGGTTAGGTTAGGTTAGGTTTCTGAGAAACGTATTCTCCAAT